GCTAGTGTGAACTGTGAATTGGAGATAGAAAAATTTTGAAAATTGGAAATCACGATGATTCATAAACAACCTAATGCGAATGATAACAATGAAGCATTAAAACAATTCAAGATAATCAACGTCAAATATGAATGTAGTATGTGGGGATATCAAGGATGTTGGCCATAGAAGGAATCTACGAACAAATTAAGTAATAATTTTGGATTATGTATTGGTCATTTAGGGGATTTGACCAAATGATTTCAACATGAGTCATTTCTTCATTTATATAACGAAATAATCAAACATCAATTTATCATCAAATATAATTGAAGAAGTACATTCTATGGACAAGATAAGTGTTATACATTATTTACCATATAATGACGGTACTAATTCCTAGCAAGATTACAACAGTTACGAATTGTTTATAATGCTTCAGCGTGATGGACAATTTTAGCTTGCCTTTTATATTGTACAGTAGTATATTCACATATACAACATATTATACCCAATTGGTATCAAATTTACAACAAAGAAATTACTGATTCATTTCATTGCTTCTTATCGAGATTTCATCGATAAAAGAAAACTTTCACAACAGCTATTAATAGATAGACCTTGTCCTTCCAATTTTCCAATCATTTTTAGCCATCCAAAGAACTTTGTAAAAAATGAATATCAATGAAAATCAAAGAACTAATTTTGCCCAAAAATGAATGAATGGATCAAAAATTGAGTTGACCTTGAAGTCATGTCGAAAGGTTCACTTCCCTAATCAAAGTGTACTTCAATTTTATAATACGGAGAATTGGGGTAGTGAATGATAATTCTACGATAATCCTCAAGACTGATCAATATTCGACAATTTGGAAGCATCAAAACATGGTTTCAAAGCATTGTAAACTTATAATGAGCAGATCTTGTCACGACTGAGGATAATTGCCGCTTCATCGGATGATAATGGTTATCTTTATTACTCAACTCTTCAATCATCTCTCTGAAATATTCAGAACATGAACTGAGAACAGTTTCTAAATGTCTGCTTGCCATCAAAATACAGTAAAAGGAAATCATTTTATTGAAGAACTAATAAAGAATAAAACATTGATAGGGATAAAACACATAATAAACCATTTGATGATACAGTACGGGACGACGAAACGAATAAATATGGAATGTTTCAAAAAAAGACAGCTAATTGCTTTTGTAATGAAATAAAGTGAAACAATTCAAGAAAAAAGCGTCTGATAAAAACATGAAAATTAAATTTCTTTACATATTTAGGGACGAAAAATTGAAGATGCATAAAATCTAAATTCATTTAAATAAGATTTTTCGTTCGAGAGGAACTGGCAGAACTATAAGTGGAAAGGGTCGATAAGGATCATAGAAAATGGGG